AGCAGTAAAGCTTTCAAATTGGTAGACGTGTATCTAAGACTTAATTTATTTAATTAAAAATCAATGGAATTGGTTTCATTAGTCCACCAGTCTTATAAATATCAACTTTTAAGTAGCTAACATGTGGGTGTGTAGATCGGACGGAAACTACCTTTAGCTAGGATTGTTTGCTATTTCGGTAGGCAACAATGATTCTCTACAAAATGATGTTGCAAGGGAATTTGAACGATGAGACCAACGATCACTGGAAGGCTCTTCCTTTGATCATCGCCTGTCCTTAGGCTAAATGCACACAGCTACCGGTTCCAATATAAAATGCGACCAAAACCACACACCACTATTGTGTCTGTTTACGCAGTGTGTCATCTCTAAATTTACCTATTCTGAATGAGAAATTGCGATAAAACCTTTGTCAAATTTAGGCATGGAGTAGTAGGCAGCTACGATTTGCAATGGCAGCCAGGGTTCATGCATGCCCTCATCCACCGAGCTATGCTATTTATAGCGACGAAGAGCAGAGGGTGCTGCTCACTATACGGCATAAAATTCACGGGCACTAAGCCGAATAATTCCTGAGTGGAGAAACTACTGATGTGTACAATTAAGCCTAAAGAGTAGCATGTCAATGTTAACTGGATGAGCTCTCCTGTTAATCAAAGCTAAAAATGACGACTTATTTTCACTGATAATTTGCACACGAAGCCTCTCAAATGCCTGAGTTATAAATAGTACGCAGCACATGAATGTATCCCACTGGCATTGTGTGCATCTGGAATTTGCCTCCTGTTTTGCCTGACAAGGAACGCAGTGGTTAAGAGAGCATTATTGTATTCCACAATAAAATATGCGTTTTTTAGCCCCATAAAGTTTATACGAAAGAAACTATTTTATTTACTTAGCAGCAGATCTATGGACGGCTCAAGCATTGAAAATAAACTTGGTGCATGCTCTTGGTAAAGCAGAGGCGTTGACTTTACCTACGAGGGATAGTGTTCTGCTTTTCAGATTTTTCAGTACTTCCCCTCACTCATTGCCGCAGCTCCACATACTAATAATTTTCCTGTGATTGAGCTAAATGTGCATTTAAAGTGCTCTGAATATCTTACCTACTCTGAAAATTATGAGATTTTGCGAGATTAACACTGAACAAAATTGGGATTTTGGTATCAAGACTTCCCCATAGGGCTAAAAGGTACCCACCTTCAACATCCACTGAAGCTGACAGCCAAAATGAGCATTGGTTGATAGTTTTTCACTTGTTGGAGATCATAAAGTGTCACTATGCCAAGTTAGAAATTGGATTGCAATGATTACGCTTCCTTGTTCCACACTAAATTCTCTGCCTTTCATCCTTATCCTTCACTTCCTGCCCACAAGCAGAGAGCTTCCATCTATCGCAGGTTGGTAACCTGAAATTCACTCTAACATTGGTTATTCTATTTGATTTAACGGCCGAAAATGATTAGTAACCATTTAATTATTCATTTTGGAAGTACACACGACAGTTAAAGCACTTAATGCTGATTTGTGAATTGCACCAAAAGTATGTTCTTAAGCTCTGGAGTAATCACTAAGCCGTATCATTCACTTTACCAGTAATGCCCCTTAAGACCATTCTGATTTCCCGTGCGTAACTCAGACCTCACGCCCCACTAAAATGCCCAACTGTGACCATAGTCCTGGCCTCAATAAGTGAGCTCTATGTTCATGCTTGCTACCGCAAAGTGCCAGGTAGTTGAAGGCATCATGGCGTTCAAATACAAATTGTATTCTAGCTCGACTAGATTCCTCATAACAGGCAATTCATGCTTTGTAGAAATTAATTTAGCATAAATTAGATCACAAGACCAGATTTTTCAAGGCTTTATAAATATTAACAAAGGCCAAAATCATGTGACAAAAAAACTATGAAATATGGCCATAATCAAGTTCAGGATTCGAAAGAAAGAAGTATGGAAAGTAATTCTAAGAGACCGTAGTATAACTCGAACTAATAATTTCGTTATTATAAGATTCGCCGGAGGCTGTGGAGTTGTTGATGAATCGTTTTTTCCTACGACGACTGCCCTCGATGTGTTTTCCAGAGTAGAAGCACCTTTGGTGGTTCAGCATGGGCAGCAGGTCTAGCAGCCGCGTGAGGTGCTTTGTGTTGGCAGAGAACTCCTTCAGCTCGTAGTCTCGCATGTACTCTAATTCTGCAACACGAGACAGGTTTACCTTTCGCAGATAGTCGATTCTCTCGGCTATCTTCATTTTTTCTGCTTCCTCTTTTATCTCCTTGAAGCGAGCTGCACCGTCGCCCTCAAATCCATTGATCGGATTGGTTTTGGCTGAAAGCAATTTTTGAGGATGTTTAAGTTTTGAAACATTCAGTGCAAAGTCATATATACCAAATTAATTTGGTTGCCTTTCTGACCTCAATTATGCTCATTGAGGTGTCAGTTCCATAGGTGGCTGTATCAAAAGCCTCAGTAAATTTGAAAATTCCAACCATTCCCACACAATGTACACTGGGAATTACACGACTATTAGAGATTACAGTGTTTCACTGCAAGCTCTCAGCATGAATATCAACTAGGATACCTACATTTATGGCAGCCAATTTGGAGAGCTTGTAAGGGTTCTGACGAGTAGTAGGTGGCAACCTAACAATGTCTCCTGTATTTATTCCAAAATAACACTTTTCCGACAGACAAACCGCATAAGTACATCTTAGACGGAGAAAATAGTTTACAGCTCTGGGAAAGAATTATTTTTTGGTGAAATTTAACGCTCCTGAAGTTCATAAAAAGAAACCCACCATTTTCGGCGACGAACAAATTTCAAAATAATACCTTTCTGGCACCGACCAAGATAATTAAGTGATTCCCTTAAAGAGCGTTTACTTTGTGCATTGAATAGTATATAATGCAAAAAAAG